GCTAGTAGTAACAAGTGCCTTACTAGTAGTAACAAGAAGCTATTAGTTAATTTAAAATCAACTGCGCAAAAAATACAGTCCCCGATCTCCACCGAAGTACCATGGTGCACGCTCAGCACGCGCCGCTTGACCAACCCTTTGCAACTTGGAAGTTCTGACATGCAGCCCGAGCGTTGGTCAAGCTGAAGAGCCCATGCAAGAGGATCAAGTCCTGCTTGGAAGCCGAGGATACATCCTTTTTGTATGCCTCAAGAAAAGGCAGCATGGCACAGAAATTCAAGGAGGGTCAAACAAGCAGAGCACAGCAACATGGCAATATAAAACTGCTCCAGCGTTTGCAATACAGCAGCAAGAAGTGGAATACAGCAAGCAGCCAAACAGTGAAGCGAGCAGTGCATCGAACTCGCTTGCCACCCGAGCACTCGCTTCCCACCAAAGGACCTCAAAATCATTGTATCGTTAAAAAACCGGCAACGACGTGTTTCTTCTTTTGTCAGATGTTGCAGCACCATAAAGACAGCCACCCACGCAGGATGACACGAACAAACCCAAAAACATGGACCGCATTTTACTAGGCCCAAGGCTGTGATAAAAGACACCATTTGCTTCGCATGGTAGCGGAGCGCTGGTCGTAAGAACCGCGCTCCGTACCCACGACACTCGCCACGACACTCGCCACCACGACGACGCTTTCACGGTGCTCCAAGGGAGCAGGGCTACTGGCTTTTGGATTCTAGAGCTTTGTTGCTGGCCTGCATTGCTGGAGGTACAGGAGACAGCTTTGTGCAGCAGGTCCACTACTACAACCCTGGCAGCGAGGTAGCCTTGGACAACAAGTGGAAGATCAGAAGGGCACATACTGTTGAGATAGCGGGTGACAAGTTCATGAGCAAGATCCGTTGGGCAAAGAGCACTCGAAACATGAGAGCATCATTGAGCTATGTTCGCGCGTGTGGGGTGTTCGCAAAGCTTCTCGATGATGAGGTTTATGTGTTGGATGGGTGCTAACTGCTTGGAACTCTGTTAGAATTGTGGACACGTGCAGAGGAAGAATTAGTTGGAATGTGCTCAAAACCATACAGCCCCAAGAGACAATGCAACAATAGAGTGTTCGCAGGGAACAAGATTTCAGTTGACTGCTGGAATCATGGTGCTGCTGGAGCATGATGCTGTGATCTCCGGCCTGGACCACTGTGAGCAGTTGAGAGCGCTGGCAGGTGGTCATTTTCAGTTGTTCAGCCATGCTTTGCGCGTACAGCCGCAGGCTACTGGGAAGCCTATTGCCAGAAGAGATTAGCATGGGGCCAGCGGCGGCCTTCGAAACTTTACTGAAGTCTGTCAAACATGGTGCAAGTGGAAGTCCACTGCAAGTTCTGGCCGCCACACATCAAGACACTGGAGACGGCTGAACTGAACGCACTGGTGATGCCTTCTTCAAAGGCGATCTCACCCGGAGGAGGATGAGATCCCTGACAAGTTCTACGCGAACCTTCTTCGCGCTCCACGACCAGATTGAGTGTGAAGAAGAGGCAGAGGTCCAGCTCGAATCAACAACTTCGAAGAGTTTCGCCGACCTTTTTGCCAAAGCGCGAGGAAGGAGTGACAGGCCATTGTTGCAAGCTATGCAGCTGAGGAGAGTGGGGCAATACTTTTTCCTTGACGCCGCCGAAGTGATCCCAATTGGCAAGACCACGCTGTCCCAGTCTTATCGCGCGATTTAGCCCATGAGCTTGAGAATCTCACTGCGCATGACATTGCTGAGAATGCCTCAGCCCCGGAATATGACTGGGCCCTTGAGGCTGAGAACGGCGCCAGGTCACAGGCAAGTCAGCAGTTGAACCGCTTCCGAATGCTTCATCAATTTGTGAAGCAGACACGCAGTACCACTGCGCCAGGCGCATCTGGCGCAAGGACTTCGAGAAGACGGCCGTGGCCCGACGCAAGGAACCTGCTATTGGTATTGATTGCCATGGCAACAGAATGTGGCAATGCTGTCCGCTACGCAGGACGCTACGAGTATGACTGAGAACGCAATGGTCTTGAGCTACTACCCCCACCGCATTCCTAAGCCCTCAAGCCATCACCGGACCCTGCGTCACTTTGAAGAAATTTGTTGGTTGACAGTTCAACTGGCTCAGAAAAGCAGTGGAGAGATGGCCCAGATGATGTTGGCCGGCGATTCGACAAAGATGGGATGTGTTGGCCGACGCTACGGATGAGGACGTGTGTGAAAGAGGATGCAGCATTGCGTGTTCATCCATGGAGGCCTAGGCCTTGGCTGTCAGTTTGCTTACCCGCTCGCCAGAGCCCTCCTGGTTCGAAGTCGAATAGGCTTCGCGTCGCTGTCGTGCTGCTGTGCAGCTTTTGAGTGAAGAGAAAAAGTGTTAGTTTCGGCATCTGGCCTTTGTCCCGCATTTTCTTACAGAAGACGTAGCTAGCAGCTTTGCGTAGTGATCAAACTGGAAAGGCGGAAAGGCCCGTTGATTGCAGCGAGCGCTGCTGGCCACACACAGTTTCGCACGAATTGACAGCCCCAATGCGATGAGCGGAGGTAGTGACCTTCAAGACAGGAAATGCTTCAACAATTTTTTTTGCAGAAAAGATGCTAAGGACTTTGCTAAGTGCTCAAAAAGATGTTAATCCTTTGAGTCCTTTCCATATTTTCGCGAAGAGGTTTTAGGCGTATGCTACTTTTCATACTGTTTTCATTTTTCACTCTTTGACTTCTGTTTGCTTTTCGTTTTTTTTCCGAGCGCTTGCGAGCAACAATTATTGCCAGCGTTCTTCTTTCCTCGGACGTAAGTATTAAAACTATTGGAGCACAAGTTCGTCCACTGTGTTTCCAATGTTCAATAACGTAGCAGGAAAAAACTCAGGCTTACTAAGGGTTGTTGAAACAATTAACACACATATGCACTACCTCACAATGCTTGCAAACACACTGGACTGGTTGTTGGCCAAGGTGAAGACAGAGGAAGAGAAGAGACTGTGCGAACTTTTAGTCGAGATCTTGGTGAATAGGTTGGAACGTCCTGTGATGCAGCAACTTGGAAGCCATTGCGAGATTTCAATGTGATTTTGGCAAGTTGTTTTAAAAAACTGTGTTTTGACAAGCCTTTCGAAAGGCAAGATGATGTTATGAAGATGCCGCTCTACCCCACAGAGGATCTCATTTGGGATCCCAACTTGGTTCCAGAGGAACACTACTCAGGCTCTGAGCAATTTCATGAGCAAAGAATTATGGCTGTATGGTTGCAACTTATTGTCACTGCAGGTGACTATTCTTTGGCGTTGCCCAAGTTGAACCTCCAGTTTCTCACCATTCATGTTCCCTGGATGTGATTGTCACAGTTTAATATGTTTATTTTTTTTCCATGTCCCCACCTGACTCCTTCCATTTTGTTCCGTCTCCTCCAAAAACTTGAGTTTGAACGGAATATTGTTATTCACCAAAAATCTAGCATTTAGATTCACCTCACGCCAATTCACTCCTGCTCATTTTTTTTTGGTGTGACAACAGGAGGATCCTAAGACGGAACCTTAGGCAAGGCAAGATTTCAACAACACTACAATGTTAGACCCTCCAAAGCTCGCGGGCCAAAGGGAATTTTCGTATGACAAAGAGGATGAGTTGATTGTATTGTGCGTTCTGGTCACTTTATGACTGCTAAGCATAATTTCTAAACTAGCAAACGGGAAACGCATCTGAATGCGTAGACAGGACAGAGTCTCGAAGTAAACGAAGCACAAACATTTTTCATTGCAAGCTCGAGTCTTTCGGAAAGCTGTAATCAGTTTGCTGGTGCACATCCTGCTGAGGACTACTTGTTGCGCAACTTCAATCTGTTTCGGTTAGAGTCAACACACGAGATCCGAGATGATCTTCAAGACCAGATTCCAAGGAGCCAAGTGTTAGCAAACCGCGTTTTGGTTTAGGTTCAAAGCAACGTTCTTGAAAGAATTGCAGGATGAGAGCCTCTGCCGACCAAGATCAAGGAACAAAAGGGATTCTTGCCTAGCTTTTCAAGGGAAGTGTTGAACATTGTCACTGTGCAGGAACTTATTTTTCTGGTTCGGCGCGAATGGCAATCCCATTGGCCGGCCTGGAAGTCATGAACGTGTCTCAACAGCTTTTCAGCTTGGAGTTTCACAGACCAGCTCGGCTTTATTGATGTACACACCTTTGCAGGTTTTCCATGTTGGATTTGCTTGTCAGCAAACGTTTTGATCGGGCTACTGAATCACAAGTTGATAGTTAAAGGCCCCCTTTTGTACAAGAAATATTTCAAGAAGGCGGACACTCGGGCTTCTCGTCACATTGTTGGAGACACATATTGGATTATTGGAGGTGGGAGGCCATCGCTACTAGGGTGGAGGCCATCGCTACTATATATGACAAAAGAATGAGCAAATGGCCTGGTGCTTCTGACGACCCCCTTTTGGGGGACAAAACCGGCCAGCGACCAGCGTCCGCAGGGTTTTGAGACAGCAGTTTCGATACCCACTGAAAGGGTAGAGCGGCCAACGATTATTAGATGCTTCTTTTGACAATCATATAAGCATGGATGTGTGATGCGCTCTTTTCCCAAGGAAGTAAATACAGATGAGTGATGCTCGTGCGCGGGTGTATATGTGCGTGTTTCTTGCGCACCTTTGTGTTTGTGCTGTTTCGCGCATAGCCAACAGGACTATGACTAGGCCAGGCTTGGAGTGAACCCAATAGCAATAGCCTCCAACCTAGTAGCGTCCTTGCTACTAACGGGTTACTAGTAGCGATGCCAGGAGCCCCTAGTAGCGATGCCCTTGTTCCTAGTAGCTTCTTGTTTCCGTTCGGTTTCTCACTTGTCTTCGTTCCTTGCACGCTTTCTTTCACCGTTGCGTCTTGTTACTGGTAGCGATGGGCTCCAACGGCTGTGTTTTGGCTCCACAGATGTGAGAGAAGGTCCGCTGCAGGAGAATATGAAGGACAATTCGCACCGAGACCTCTCTCTTCCAATTGCAAACAATTCTTTTCATTCATAAATAAAGAAGGAAGGAAGGATTGCAAATAATTCTGTCATTCCTTTCCTTTCTTTCCTTCATTTCTGCCATTGTTCCTTTTTCATTGTTCCTTTTTTTTAAACTTTCTTTCCTTTCGTTTCAAAAAAACACAACATTTAGGGTAGGGGCACTGCGCAGGGAGAATAGACCGTCAGACGCGATAAACTTGCATTTGGTGCATATGTGGTGTAGGTGTGGTGTTGTTTCCTGTTCTGCACGACAGACACGGCTTCCTGCGTCGGTTCGATTATTCAACCCTGGAACTTGCTTCCCCAATGTGCACATGCAATTCTGAAAGGAAGGATACAAAGACAGGTTTAAAGGTCTAAATATGAAAAGAGAAGAAACAACAACAGCAAACAGGCAACTTAAGATTAGTCAACGAAAAATGCTTTGTGTTCTAGTTCATGACAGCACGGCCACGGGGAAGAACGGATGAAACGAACCGTGCCACAGAGTGCCACTCCGTACCACCCAGCGCAGCCCATTCGCATGTATTGGACAGCTACTAACAAGAAGCTACTAGGGGCTCCTGGCCTTACTACTAGGAGCAAGATACTACTAGGAGCTTTTTCGCTACTATATTGGAAGCCTTTTGAGCCCAGAGCGGCCTTTTTGATTGGCGCCCCTTACGCCACGGGGACCTGCTTGTGGAGAATTGTCACTTTAAATCTGTCCCTCATCGTCACATGGGCCATTCTGTGTATACATATACAAGAAGCTACTAGGGTGGAGGCCATTACTACTAGTAGCAAGAAGTTACTAGTAACAAGAAGGATAGGTGTCACATTCCACACTCTTCAGGTGCTCTAAGACTCACACCTGTGGAATGCGCAAATGTAGTCTACGCCGTGTGCACACGATCTTCTTTTTCATGGACCTGCGATGGCCTCCACCCTAGTTTCTTGTTTCTAATAGCTTCTTGTTACTACTAGTAAGGCACCTGTTACTACTAGTAAGGCACTTGTTACTACTAGCTCTTGTTACTACTAGAATGACGAGTTTCGGAAACTCTGAGGTGAAAAGACCGAAAGTTGGAGATGAGGTGCCATCTGAAGTACGGGCAGAGGTACGATGGTCTCTCACTGGAACATTACCGTCAGGCTCTGAAAAACGTGGATGTGCAGAAAATCTAGCTGCAACATTCTGCAACTGTGAAAGAAAGCAAGGACAAGTGAGAAACCAATATTGGGAAACAAGAAGCTACTACGGGCTCCTGGCATCGCTACTAGGAGCAAGGACGCTCCTAGTAGCTCCTGGCCTTACTAGGACGCTATTTAAGTGAGAAGCGAAAAGGCACTTTGTCCGTTCTGTTTCGCTCCAAGGCACATCCGTGAAGAGTGGGACACCCTCAGGGAGCATGATGTCATCTTCCTTATCAGGTTCTTTGCAATGCAAAGCTCACTCTTGGATATTCTTAATCATTTGGTAGCAGATTTGTGTCGTAGGAATATTCTATTGTTATATTTTCTTTTGCTTCTTGGGCGTCGAACTAAACCTATTAAATGGTTTAGCCGGACAGGATCCAAGCACCTGAGCAACCCTTTGACGGAAAAGTGTCGGAGCTCACAGTGACTGAGTTTCCCGAGAAGTTTGGTCATGACCTTGGAGGAGTTCTCAGAGAAGTGCAAACGATCAAACAAGTAAGAACAAATACTCCTAGTAGCGTTCTGGTTCCTAGTAGCGATGCCACGAGCCCCCAGTAGCGTCCTTGCTCCTAGTAGCGATGCCCTTTGCTCCTAGTAGCAAAAGGAACCTACTAGCGATCGCCTCCAACTTTAGAATTCAACAATTGCTGTTTTTACACCTGCAAAAAGAACTGCAGGTGTGGTGTATGTCCGTGGAGCTGCCACAAACCCAGAGTCAAGCGGTAGTCACGTCAGCAAATGGAAGAAAAGAGAGATGAGCAAAATAAGTGCTTCGATCTCGTCAAATTAGACATCCGTTATTAAGGGGCTCAAAGACCTTTGCTCAAATCTGTTTCTTTCTTGTCAAAAGTCTAGTTCCATCCATTCTCCCAGCACATTTCTGAGGAGATCACAGAATTGCTTGACGACGAAGGTAGCAGAGTTGTGTTGTTTCCTTTTGGCACAGTGGACAGAGTTGAAGTGCCAACTCTGCACAATGAACACCTCACTGTCGTTGTTTCGAAAGCATAAGTAGCTTCTTGTTACTAGTAGTAATGCCAGGAGCTACTAGGAGCGTCCTTGCTCCTAGTAGCGATGCCCTTTTGTTACTAGTAGCTTCTTGTCGAGGCAATGTCCTCAGTGACCCAAATCCGGCAGAGCGCAAGACGCCTGTCGGAGATGGACGAGTAGCCAGAGTCTTGCTTGATCCAGCTCAATACCATCAGGCGACGGCTTTCATTGCTTCGTTCAGGGAGTTCATTTGTCCTTGAACATTCACTTATGTTAGTTTTTCATAGTAGAAACAAGTGCCACGCTAGTAGTAACAGGTGCCTTACTAGTAGTAACAAGAAGCTATTAGAAACAAGTGCCTTACTACTAGTATTGTGTCTTGTGTTTTTTCTATTTGTTCCTCTGAAAGAGCACCTTGTGATGCCATGGACCGAACAGAGGACTTGGAAGCTATGGCGAATGGCAAGCAGGAAATATATAGCACTCTGAATTTGATCATGAGGAGGAAGCCGATGCTCATCTCATTTTCAAGCACCTCTAAGCCTTCTTTTTGCCTTGTTTCTTCAAAGGTGGGCACGTACCAAAGCCTTCGCAGACGTGAGATGAATGAGTGAAACAAAAGCAGAAGCATTTTTTGATTGATTGACAATGCCCGCCCCCGAATAGTAAACCGCCCCCCTTCCCGCCATGGGAGGTTAACAAGGTCTTTCTTTGCTTCCTTTGTTTCCGATGGCCCAAAAACTGGCGGCAAAACCTTTCAAGGTTCGCCAGCAAAAAGAAACATCAAGCTGCCAGCTGCAAAACAACAACCATAATAGAATTGGCAAACTTCTTGGTAAGAAGTCAGGCTAACCCATCAGCAAAGACTTGATTGGTGAGTTCAAAGAGAGATTAGTTGCAGCCAAAACAGAGAAACAGATGCATGAAGTTCTCTTAGTTCATCAAGTGGAATTGGAACATTGACTTGGTTGTGTCGTTCGGATTCCCTGGGTTCTAAGCTCCATCCTAAAAAGGTGGCATCCTGCGGAATCCCTGTGACGTAGGTTTCCACGGGTGACAAGCCTTGGTGAACGAAGCAGTACGCCAACAAGGCCTACATTCTGCTCCTTCCACACACTCCGACAGGAGTCATGCCTCCACTGCGCAGTTTACCTACCGAGATTCACCGGTCCATTCCATTTAGACCCCGCCGTAAATGAAGACTTGAAATGTTTAAGTCTCACAACGTTTTTGACCAAGCGTTAGAATGAAGGTCGATGATGCACACACGGGGGCAACTCTTTCGACGAAGTAACAGAGTTTCCGTAGTAACAAAAATGTCGACTAGTAACAAGTGCCACGCTAGTAGTAACAAGTGCCTTACTAGTAGTAACAATGTTTGCTACTAGTAACAAGTGCCTTACTACTAGAAAGCATAACGTGTTGCCTTCCAACGCTCTGAAGTTATGTACCTCCGTCTCATACGTATAACACGACGGGGTGACCCTGCGGACATGATGAGAAGCACCATTAATAACATTGCAATACCACACAAACGACAATGTTCTCCACGGTGGCTCCTTTCGTCCATGCTGAGGAAGGAGAACAACTTCAAAGCTATTCTCCACACCATCAGGTTGGGCAAAGCAGCTGAGTTTTGTTTTTGTGCTTTTCACCCTCAGCGAGGATGAACGTCAGATAGAAAGCGTCGGGTTTGAACTGATGTGAGCAGAGAAAGTGGTGGATGCTCTTATCACCAAGAGCAGCATGCTTGCAGGAGCCTCATGAACAATGAAGACACGGTTGTTCCTGCATCTTGGTTTTGCATAGGAGGACAACCATGAACCAGATTCAACAATGAGACGTTTTATGTCACTACTGTATTCCTGACGGTTCAAACGACAATGACATATTTCGAAAGAGTAGGTTGGAGGTCGGTGCTACCCCCGTGCGCATCGAGGACTGGCTGCATGATTTGTTCCTGGGTTATGGTGACCCTGGAGCTGCACAGTACTGGAAATTGCCGACTGCGCTGAACGAAATTGACTTCAGAGACTTGTCAAATTTGAGGGTAGTGACGAAAGTGACTAAAGCATGGAATTGGATTCAAAAGGTGTTTGCTCTCTTGTGAAAGCCAAGTGATGGCTTCCACTTCCACTTTCCTCTTAGGTGTTCAACAAGAACACTTCCTTGACAATGTAAAAGCCACAAGTTTCACAAGCTAAACGCAAAGAGGTTCTTTGACGTCACTTGACAGTGTCACTGGCTTGGATCACTTGACCTGAAGGAGACACCTTTCTTGATGATGATCATATTCTCGAGCCCTAGCTACAAGATGCTACAAGAACCCTGCAGTCACAACAACCTTGCAAGTTCTTTTTCTTGTTTTTTTGTTCAGGAATCATTTCCAGATGCCGATGACGTTGATGTGCCAGAGAATTTGCAGCGGCCCTTCCGCTTGAGCTTCGAAAAGGTCACAGAGAAGACCGAACCTGGAAAGCGACCCATAGAAAGATTCTGAATCTGCAGAAAGCTTCGAAGTACAATTTGGCACTTGACAAAGTGCCTTTTGCTTCGTACCGTGGGATTTGGTCAGCCGTGGTCAGCCATGCTAGGTCCTCGATTTGTCCATTTGGTCAACGATTTGCCGAACTAGGCTGTTCCCGAATCCTTCCCACCACAATTCACCCTTCACAAGCGGAAGCTTTCTTGCTTGTTTGCAAAGGGGCCATCTTGACGCTAGTTTCATTGCGGAGTTGGCGCCAAATCTCCACTTTTGTGATGACCCTTTGTGGTAAGTTGACATCGGCATAGGTGGTCTACTTGCCACAATCGAGTTTTAGTGTTGTTTATTTGTTTTTGACATGTTAGACATGTTACATCCAGGATTAATGATCTAGAAAACATTGTTGGTTTTCATCATCATTTTTTGCATGATTTGGGATAGCAAAAATGTAGCTTAGACAGAAGCCTTTTGCATTAGTTCTGCAACACCTGTTTTTGCCTTTGCGAAAGCGGTCAAAGTTGCACATCACGCTCTGTTTGGAAAATGCTTTTCAAAGCCAAGGAGTGAAAGCCTCTGCGTATTCACTTCCAAATATGGGTCCTTATCCTGAATGCAAGCGTTGACCTCAGAGAATGAAATTGTGGAACCAATCCACGAAAGCAAGCAAACTGTTATTTGTGAATATGTGTGATACGTCTTGTGACATGAATTCGTATGTTCATGTTCCTTCGTATTTTCTTTAAGCCAAGAGCCGTTTTCTGAGACTTTTGTTTGTTATTTTTTCTGCAGATTTATATAGGCTATCCAGGCTATCCATCTGAGGCCTCGAGAGAATTCCATCCGGTTTACTCCTGTCCAAGTCGAAGCCATCCGGTCTGGTGTGAATCCTGGTCTCACAATGGTGGTGGGTCCTCCCGGCACTGGGAAGACTGACACGGCGGTGCAGGCGCTTTTCGCTGTGCACGTGCTTTTCGAACTGTTTTTTAAGGCTTTTCTGCACCTGCAAGTGCTTTTGCTAGGTGGTAAATTTGCTCTTCCACAATTTTCCGGATCAGAAGATAGTCTTGGTGGCCCACTCCAACCAAGCCTTGAATGATCTCTTCGAGAAGATTGTGGCCCTGGATATCCCAGAAAGATATCTTCTGAGATTGGGTCGTGGCATTGAGGACACGACTGGAATGGGCCTTGGGGAAACTGGCTGTGGAGCTATATTTTTTTGGGGGGTAGGCCGCTAGAGGTGAGGGAGGTAGGTTAGCTAGTACATGTAGCTAGAGGTAGCTAGCAACAGCTAGGTAGCTACTACCTAGGACGCGGGATAGCTCACGCTTCTTCAAGGAAGCTCACCCCGGCCGCCTAATGATTGGTTCCTAGATTTTTAGGGAAACTTAACTTACATCTTTAGAAGGCACCTGCCTTACTGCTTGCAAGAGTGTTTTGTTTCAAAGCAAAGTATGCAAGGCTTTAGGTCCAAAGTGCCTTGCAATGCGACCGGAGTGAGAAGAATGCTTTGGCTTGCAGGAGTTGGATGCCAAGCAGGATTTTAGCAAGTGGGGGCGTGTCAACCACATGTTGCAAGGGCCTCAGTCGCACAAAGGTCAGGGCGCAAGCCTGTAGAACCAAAGCTAGAGGGATTTCACATCAAAAGCTCCTTTTGCTTTTTCTTTTTTTGGCCGTGGATTTTTTTAGGATGTCTTTGAAGCTACTAGTAACTCGAAGTTTCCTTTGGAATCGTTTCACTGGGAATCCTTTCACCTGCAGTAACAAGACGCTTTTTAGTATGTCTTCGAAGCTACTAGGGGCTCCTGGCCATACTACTAGGACCAGGAACAAGAAGCTACTAGTAACAATCATATATAAGTGGCAAAGATAAGCCATTCCACTTCGATGACTGCAGGCCCCTTTCGGAGTCAAACATCCGCTCGCATGGTAGCGGAGCAGGGATCAGGATTTGCGTTGCATCTCCTGTGAGCTCCGGCGGCGGATTCAACGACACAAACCCATATCCCTTCGCGCCCCTGTCCTAGCTGCGACCGTGCCGGTTCATAGAACTAGTGTGGCAGGTTGCTCGCCCTCGGTGCGTGAGGCTATTTGAACCTGGAGATCAAAGCACCTTGAGGTACCCCTTTGCCCACATCTTTGAGTATAACAGGTTGACTGAGGATCACCTGACGGCCCTATCTCATCTTCTTTGAGGACGCCCTTGGAGAGGAGAAAGGTGACAAATGGACGGCTCTGATCCTGGTTTGGCTGGAGGAGCGGCGGTCGAGTTGACCCAGGCGTTGATCCAGGCTGCACAGTCGGCCACCCAAGCTGCACAAGCGGCTGCAAGTGTGAATGCAGCTCAAGCCCAAGGAGGAGGAGAAGGTTCATCGTCAGGAAGCTCGAAATGAGACTTGGCAAAGCTCATACCCCGTCCAAACAGCTTCAGTCCCATCGACAGGGAGCAGGAGGTGTTGCAATGGAGGGACTGGTATTGGGGATTCAAACAATACCTTCTGGTGGTGGATGGATCCTACCAGGAGGAAGTTGACAGGATCGAGAATAACCTCAACGTCGAGGTGGACTGGGATTTGCTTTCAGAACCTGAGCAACAACGCGGACGCTTCCTCTACAGCCTCCTGGGTAGCTTGGTTCAGGGCAGGCTGATGGGCCTGATTCGAAATGTGGAGCAGTTCAATGGCTATGAAGCGCTGCGTCAACTCCTGGCCAATTGCCAGCCGAATGCCAGGAACAGGACTTTGAGTTTGCTCCAAGGCATCATGGCCTACCCGAGCTTCAATATGCGGACCTCCTTGCTGCCCCAGATCTTGAAGCTGGAAGAGCACTACTACCAGTATGAGAAGCTGGGAGGTAAGCTTAGCCCGGACATGAAGGCGGCCATCCTGCTACGCTCGGTGGGAGGTCAGATGAAAGTTCACTTGAATCTTGCCCTCAACGAAGGATCCACCTACACCCAAATTCGAGAGGCCATCATCGCCTTCGACAATGCCACTACGAAATGGAACGAGTCAGGTGCATTGTCATTCTCAAGCCCTATGTCTTCAGGTGCAGACCAGGGCCCTATGCCTATGGAGGTGGATCGTCTTCAGCAGAAGGGAAAAGACAAGGGCAAGTCAAAAGGGAAAGAACAGAAGGGCAAGAGCAAGGGCAAATCAGAGAAGGGCAAAGACAAGGGCAAAGGGAAGTCAGAGGGCGGAGGCAAGAGTGGAAAAGGAAAAGGGGGCAAAGAGAAGGGAAGAAAAGGAAAGAACACTACAGAGGTGTGCTGGACATGCGGAAAGCCAGGCCACCTGTCGAAAGATTGCTGGCGAGTACGTCAAGTGGAGGCTCCACCGACTCAGAGCTTGAGCTCCACTAGCCAGCATGGGTCTACTCCATCCACAGCGACGGCAAGCACTACGAGTGGTGGAGATGTTTCACAGAAGGCAATTCGCCGTGTTTCACAGCCAGCAGTTTTTGATCTGAGAGAGACATCGCTGACTGGCTCGATCAGGATGGTTCAGGAGAGCCCCAAGTCCTCGGTGGAGTACTACAGCATTGCCACCGACGATGAGGCAGAAGATGAGGAGGACCATGGCTACGCCATCAACACGGTCCAGCAGTATGACAGCATGGAGATTGAGAATGAGGTGCCGAAGGTTGAGGAGACGGTCAATGTGATCCTGGATTCTGGGGCTGACGCCTCGCTGTTTCCAGGACGTTTGATGGACAGAGGCATTCCAACCAGTGGAGCATGCCCGTACCTCCAGGATGCCCAAGGCACGAAGATCAAGACCTATGGCCACAGCGATGTGGACATCGTGATGCATGCCAAGGATGGGAGAGAAGTGATCATCAAGGAGCGGGTGACCTTTTCAGACGTGGTGAGTCAACCCATTCTCTCCTATGGGCGCTTGTTGAGGACTGGATGGTCGATCGATGGTGATACCCAGTGCCTCAAGCACGACGAGATTGAGGTCCCTTTGGCGTTTCAGAACCAAAGCCTTGTGGTTCGAGCAGCGATCCGAATGATCCACGAGCCTGGCATGATTCGCACGCTGAGGGTGAAGCTTGGTCAAGAGCTACAAGAGGCGGCAGTGGGGCAGTATGGATGGAAGAAGAAGGAGCACTTTTGGTTGGGATTGCACTCAAGCCGCCACTATCAAACACCCCAGTTCGTGCTGGAGTTCAGGAACCAGAGTGAGGGCTTTTGCAGGTCGACTTTGGTTGAGCGCCGTGGACAATGGGAGCTGGTTGAGATGGCCGAACCACTCGACGGTTTGTGGGAGCAGGAGGAACCCATTGAGGAGCTCAAGGAGGAAGAGATGGGCAGGGTCATCACGCTCATTGCCCAAAGAGGGACGGCGCCCGAGACCTTTGGATTTGAGGTGATGGATGGTTTCCACTTCAGAGCAGATCCTGAGGGCATGGAGGAATTGGCAGTGCCTGAAGCAGCTGTGGAGGAAGAAGTTGAGGGCATGGACATTCCTGGAGGAGAAGGTCAAGAGGGAGTTGGCCTAGAGGACCAGGAGGCCCGACTTGAGGTTGGTGTTGCATTGCCATCCCAGATCCAGGTGAACGGTGTGGTGCTCACTTTGGATAGCCCCCTTCGAAGTCTTCGTGCTGCAAGCGCCTTCTATCGGATTGGCCAGAGCGGGGGAAAACAGAAGTGCTTCAATCGGTTGATGTCGCACCAACACCAATTGGAGCTGCTCATGGCCAGGGACTTGGCCGCTCAGGGACGGGCTATGGACCAGCGCATTCCATTGGAGCAGGTTTCCGCAAGAGAGCCAACGGTTGAGGAGAGGCGCCAACATGAACTCACTCATCTTCCGTATGAAGCCTGGTGCACCGCCTGCTTGAAACATCGAGCACGTCAAGACCAGCGCAGGAGGGCTGGCAAGGCCCATGAGCAAGGATGCCCAACTATATCGTTCGACTTCTGCTATGTGAAAGCCTCAGGCTCAGGAGCACTTGGTGAAGAGGAAGAGGATGGGGCCCAGGCTGGGCTGGAAGCTGAGCGAGGGGCATTGCTGATGGTGGCGGTGTGCTCACAAACAGGGTATTTGCTAGCCCTGCCGGTGAAGCCCAAGAATCAAATGAGCCTCATCACCCATGAGTTGCTGGCCTTCACCCAGGTCTTAGGCCACGAGGAGGTCCAGTATTACAGTGACAACGAGCCGACTTTGCGGCAGATCCTCAAGCTCTTAGTGACGGCAAGGTCATCAATGGGCTTGAAGACAACTATGAGGACCACCAAGATCTATGACTCAGCGGGCAATGGGCTTGTGGAGAACGCCATCCAGCGGATTAGGAGTTTGGCAGCAACTTTGATGGAGAATCTGACCGAGCAGATTGAGCTTCGATTCCAAAGCCAACATCCTATTTGGAGCTGGGCGTGCAGGCACAGCGCATGGCTGATCAACCGCTTCCAACCATTTCATGGCTCTACGAGCTTTGAACTGGCACATGGACGAGCCTATGAAGGGAAGCTATGCAACTTTGGGGAGGTTTGCTTCGCATACTGCAAGCCCAAGCAAGGGTACAAGGCTGACCCAAAATGGAGGCTCGGAATGTACCTGGGAAAGACGGAGCTCCAGGACAACTGGGTGATCGGTGATGCCAACAAGGTCTACTTGAGCCGCTCTCTGAGAAGGATGTCAGGAGCCAGCAAGAAGAACCTCATGTGCTACAAGGGGTTCACGGCCTACAGTTGGGAATACCAGCAGAACTTTGGAGGCCGGATAGTTCCTTCGAAGAGGATGGCATCGATGGTGGGCATGCCTATGAGTCGAGCTCTACCACCGAGCAGTGGGGTATCCCCGGATGATGTTGATGCTCAGGAGATTCTCGCCTTCGTGAAGTCCTATGCGGGAAAGAGAGAAGAAGCCAGAGAGCTGGTGGAGGATGAGCCCAATCAAGATGGTGGACGAGAAGGCGGAGAACAGAAGAGTTTGGCAGAGCTGCAATTGGCCGAGGACAAGAAGCAGGATTTCGTGGAAGAGGAGGTTCCGGAGTTGGTGAAGGTATCCAACCCCCTGGTCATCGATGAGAGGAGGAACCACCTTCAGATCCGCGCCCAAAGCCTCACCAAACAGTGTCAACACCAAGGAGCATGGCATCTAAGGCTGGGATGGTGGAGCAGGAGAAGACTGATGTGAAGAAGATGAAGATGACACAACTCCAGAGCCAAAGAGGCCAAGGCATGAGGGAGATACCAATATGGAGAGGAGAGTTGAAGTCACCCAGGTGGGAGCCGAGTCCTACTACCACATGGACGACATCATCGGCGAGGAGGAGATGGCCGTGTGGAGTCAGGAGAATGAGGAGGAAGATGAACAGTCATTGGAGATTCCAGATGCCCTATGGTCAGATGCACCCTTGGATCGAGTGCCGCCAGACCCACCGAAGTGGGTTGATGATCTGGCTGACGAGGTGGAGGAGAAGCGGCTGGAGAGGCTTGGAGTGCTCGCCCCAATGGAGAAGAGGCTGGAGGGATACAAGAGTTTCACCACGAGATTCGTGCGGGATTGGAGAGCCAAGCCGAGAACCAAGGACCCAGGAGCACCGAAACAGTGTCTGCGGAGATCAAGGCTGGTAGCCAGAGAGTATGCCACAGATCGCCGTGATGATGTTCACAGTCCAGCGACAGGTGGACAAGCCCTACGGCTGCTACCGTCCATCTACCTCATGAAGAAGGCAGAGGAGGAGCATGGTGGACTTGAATACACCTTAGGTGCCCTGGATATCAAGGACGCTTTCCTGCAGGTCCCTCAAGCAGCCCCTACACAGGTGAGCACGGCCAGTGGTCACTTTGGGGTGAAGAAGAAATTGCCCGGCCAGAGGATTGGAGCCAAAGCTTGGTTCGACTATCTCACTGACTGGCTGAAAGCAAGGGAGTTCAGTCTTTCCGAGATCAACCCTTGCCTTGGACGTTTTGGCCACAAGATGATGCTCCTCATTCACGTGGACGATGTGATGTTTGTTGGAGAGAAGGATTACGTGATGGAGCAGTTCATCCCGGACCTCAAACAGAGCTTTGAGATATCAGAGCAACATTTGACTGGCGAGGGCAGCTCATTCCAGTTCTTGAGGAGGACCTATGTGGAAATTGAAGGTGGTTTGAAGGTGATGCCCGGGAAGTATGCCGAGAGCATGATCGAGATGTATGAGGAGAAAATGGGCAAAGCAAAGGTGCAGAAGCTTCCTTGTGGTCCTGAAGTTCTGGAAGCTGATGGTTCGGTAGAGCTCAAAGCCGAGTTGGCAAGCCTGTACCGCTCGCTGGTTGGATGCGGGATATACCTTTCACAGGAGAGGCCAGATGTCTCCTACACGATCAAGGAGCTGGCATCAACTATGTCATTTCCGACGACCAGCAGCTTGAGGAAACTGGGAAAACTCATCGGCTACCTCAAGGGGACGCTTGGCCAGCATAGCATCCTAGAGATGGGAGAGCCAGGGCAAGGACTGATCTGTCGCACTATGGAGGCCAGATGGATCATTGAGACCTTCAGCGACAGTGATTGGTCGGGATCCAAAAGTCATCGACGATCCACCTCAGCCGCGATTCACATGTTGAACGGAGTGGTCATTTTCACCAGTTCAAGAGGACAGAAGAGTGTGGCCCTATCCTCAGCCGAAGCAGAGCTCAATGCATTGGTGAGCTCAGCAGCTGATGGGATCTATCTCAAGCGGTGCTTGGAATTTCTGGTGGATGAGGCGGTGATCCATGAATGTCTGGTGGACAATTCGGCAGCCCTACATCTCTGTGACCGACGAGGCCCAGGAAAGCTGCGCCACATAGCAGGGAAACTGCTGTGGATTCAGGATTTGGTGGCTCAGGAGGAGCTTCGAGTCAAGGCAGTGGGAACTCTCCACAATGTGGCTGACTTGGGCACGAAACCGCTATCACGAAACCGCATCATGCTGATCCTGTATTGGTGCAACACCCGCAGTGGAGATGATGAGAAGCTTGGTGAGGAGGAGTACACCAAGATGGAAGAGAGCCGAATGAACCGGGTGAAGATCCAGAAGCTGGCAAAGTTGCTGAACAGGATCCTACTCGTTGGGGGTCTTGAGCAGGCCACGGCATCGAGGACCGAAGGTCTTGAGGAAAAGGTGGAGAAGAGCAATGGCATCATGATGATGGTTGTGGTGGTTATGGCATTGATGATAGCACCACTGGCGTGGGCGGTGTACAAGCTTTGGGGCATTGTCGAGGAGTTGAAGACCAAGATTGCCGACGCCAAGGACAGTGCCTATGTCAACGGGGTGTCCACCAGGGCCTATGTACAAGGCATGCGAGAAGAGATGAAGGAAATGAAGAGTTACAGCCAGAAGATCCATAGAGGTCTGATCAAAGCCTCAGGATACATCAACAAAGAAGAGGTGAGTGAAGAGGATTGGCAGCACTGGAACTACATCCAGCGCTCCAACGAGGGCTTCGACTTGCGGCGAATCCACGCCCAGATCAAGGCCTATAAGCAGGAGAATGAGCGAGACGATGGGCCAATTGACTTGCGGCCCTATCGCAACACGGAGGATGAAGAGATGCAGGAGGAAAGTGAAGAGGAAACCGTAACAGTGCGGCTCGACGGCGGAGAGGTAGTGCAGATCCCTCTACGTTTTGTAGAGCCACGTGAGCCGGAGAGTGAAGATGAAGCAGCAGCACCACAGATGGAAGTGAGCGAGGCACCCCAGGAAGTTGAGTGGGCGGACGAAGATCTGCCCACTCCGGAGGTCAGAGACCCCACCATCAATCAGGCAACAAGTGCCTGGCTTACGCAGGAAGATCTTGTAGAGTTGAAGGGTTATGATTCGGCATGCGCCCGATCGGGATTACGTGCAAAACAGCACATGCTCAACCTACAGAAGGAATGGCAGAAGGCAGACCGTGAAAAGGATCATGAACGTAAGCTCGAAATTTACAAGCGAATGGACGAACACTATCCTTTCATGGATTCTGCCGATTTACCCTTTTAAAGGTTAGCAAATGAGCTTGAAGACGCTCAGATGCTAAAGGAGGAGTGGCAAAGATAAGCCATTCCACTTCGATGACTGCAGGCCCCTTTCGGAGTCAAACATCCGCTCGCAATAAGGCTTTCTAGCTAGATCTTTTCTAGATTTCTTTTTCTAGATATATGTCTTCGAAGCTTTCTAGTTACTAGAAGCTACGAGGGGCTCCTGGCATCGCTACTAGGAGCGATCGGACGCTACTAGTAGCTTTCGGCCTTACTACTAGGAGAGAGAAGCTACTAGGTTCCTTTTGCTATTGGGTGGACGAGGTTACTAGAAGCTACTAGGTGGAGGCCATCGGTACTTGTCTTTTTCGGGCACTGCTTTGCACTCTTTCGCGAAAGAGACTGACAGCGCACTGTCAGAAAGCGACGCTTGGAGCTCCTTGCAAAAGTTGAGCACCTAGCAAATACATTCGACCTCTCTGGCCAGGAGATGTGTTGAAAGCAAGAAAAACTTGCAGCAAGTTTGTTGAAACGCATCCTTTTCATCAGCTGTTTCTCACTGACCGTGGCTTGGGCCAGGATGTGGCATATACCTGTGAGAATGCACAGCACTTTTTCCTGCACCACGTTCAATACCGCTGGGAAGACTTTCATCGAAAGCTGAGTATCGCCGGCAAGAACGGGGTAAACATCCACAAGGCCCAAATGGTTCCGAGTCAAGTATCTCCGCCGGTCTCAGTCCCAAAGACACAAAGGCATACAAATACCGTTTTTCTTTGGGCTTTTAGACCTTTCTTTGTCTAGTTTTCTTCCCTTCATACCCATCTCAACCTGTGTCAACCCATCTTGGAACTCCAACCATCACTCTGACAGTCTGAAGTGCTTGAAGGGATTCATTCAGAAGTACTCTATGAAAGTTACATTGTTGAGCCGAGCTGCTAAAATACAAGAACACTTGGTGACACAAGTGCGTTTCTTTGGAGAATCCAGGAGAAACATAAGTAATTTGTTTTGTGCTTTGTTTTTTTTCAAATATTGGCCAACGCTTTTAGATCCAGAGACGGAGTAACTCTCAGGCTTTTTTAAGGAAATCCTTCGCATGATTTATGTTCCTAGATGTTTTGAGAAGAACAGAGACAGACAAGGACGCCATTCTATCCGCTTCACGACCGCTGGAAGCCTCCGCCAGGTTTTGTCGAAGCCAGCAACCAAAAAGCGCCGACTGGAAGAGGACGCTGAGGCGGAAGGAATGACAAAAGGACATAGAGCCCCTAGTAGCATTCTTGTTACTACTAGTAAGGCACTTGTTACTAGAAGCGATGCACTTGTTCCTAATAGCTTCTTGTTACTACTAAGAGGACATAGATTTCAATAAACGGGCAACATAAGCATGAGAGCTCAACACGGACAGAAACATGGAAATTACAATTCAGGCACCAGATTTTCTTGAAAGGCAGGACATCAATTGTGGCTGAAGCAGGTAGTTCGGACTTGACGTTTTGAACTTTACGTGCATTCACTTCAAAGAAGCTGCTAGGAGCAACGGGCATCGCTACTAGGAGCAAGGACGCTACTAGGGGCTCCTGGCCTTACTTACTAGTAACAAGAAACTACTAGGAACAAGTGCATCGCTTCTAGTAACAAGTGCCTTACTAGTAGTAACAAGAAGCTACTAGGGGCTCCTGGCCTTACTAGGAACAAGAAGCTGCTCACCATTTTGTGCATGTTCAGCACCTTCCAGGCAGAAGGATCGTCGAGGCAAGTCCTGCCATTCGACCACTTGCAGCGGCACATCGAAAGTCGCAATGCCGTGGCCTTGCAACCTGTATCCTCAAGAAAAGCAAACAAAAGAGACACACAAGAAGGTAAAGGGTAAAGGACCTCTTAAAGGGGCGTGAAGAAAAGAGGCCCTTTACTCTTATTGTTTCTAATTGAATCCTTATTTCTAATAGCAAACATTGTTACTACTAGTAAGGCACTTGTTACTAGTAGCGATGCACTTGTTCCTTTTTTCCAGGAAAGAAGAAAACACCGAAGAGGTGAAAAAAGTAGCTGAGCAGATCCTTGGCACTAACGCTAGGAACGTAACATCCTTTGCTCCTAGTAGTAATGCCCTTTGCTCCTAGTAGCTACTTGTTAAGCTATTTGCTCCTAGTAGTATGGCCAGGAGCTACTAGTAGCGTCCTTGCTCCTAGTAGCGATGCCCTTGGCACTAGCTTGGCTCGATGAACCCTGCGGCATGTGCCGCAATGCGATGCAATGATGCGCAAAGCGCGGGGTTCAAGCTGAGGTTGTTGAAAGGAGAGACCACAGTGATTTCCCTGTTGTTCCCCTTCAGCAAGTTCTTTGCAGATGCTCCACAGCCATTGTTTCCTGGAGACTCCTATGAATCAGACCTGGAGATCGCAGAAGGATGCTTTAGGTACCTAGGCAAGCTCGAGTTTTGGTTTGCTGTGGCTTCAAAACAAATTGTATTTTCGCTAGAAACTCTGTAAAACATTTGGCTTTCCATTTTGCAATGCAGATTCTCGACATTTCGCATTCAAGTCATTCAAACGCCTGGCTCGATGTTTCATTTTTTGGCCTCAGGTATTTCGAAAACATGTTCAGTGAGATTGAGGAGTGCCGTGCTTTTGAGCTCTTGCGAAATAGCATCCTGGCCAAGAACGGTGTCCAGACATTTCTGAGGCTTCTGTAGGAAAGGTTGCACACAAAAACTCCGACGAAGCATGAACTTGAAATTGTGAATTTCAATGAGAATATTGCTTGACGTTTTACCTGCGAAAACCTGGAGTCACCTGACAAATTCATTCTTGAACACATTTTCAATTTTCATTGAACCGACACCTTCGAGAGCCATACCCACCCCCGTTGAACAGGAACAACCTCGAATCATGTTGCCTTTGGCAGAGCCTGATTAAATCGCTTCTTGCTACTAGTAGCTTCTTGCTAGTAGTAGTAATGGCCTCCAACCTAATGGCGATGGCCTCCAGCCTACTAGCTTCTTGCTACTGGTAGCTTATTTTGTTATTCTTGGCATGAGGGAGAAGCTGAGCCTATTTTGCACGTCCCCGGACTCCTAGACAGTCCTAGACCCCCGTCTACCACAACATCTAGGTCCTGTGCCCCCCCCAAAAAAAACCAAAAGTCGACTGCTTGCTCACTTTGATTTGGAGAAGCCTGAGCCTTGGGTTAAGTCTGTTAGGAGAAAGGACGCTACGAACGGGGCTCCTGGCATCGCTACTAGGAACCAGGACGCTACTAAGTGTTTGGCCAGTCGAGACGGTGCACTAGGTCACGATCGTGGTGACTACCTCATCACGACGCACGCACGAATCATTGCCATGACCTGTACCCACGCGGCTCTCACAAGATCTACATTGGTGAACCTGGCCTTTAAATACGTACCTTGGTAGAAGAATCTGAGAGCTGAATAACTACCTCAGCCTAGTCAGCTGAGGACAATCTGTTGATGGAGGAGTCAGCTCAGATTTTGGAGGTTGAGACGTTCATTCCGATGTTGTTGCAGAATGCGGAGAACGGAGTCAGCAGGTAACTAGTAGCAAGAAGCTAGTAGGCTGGAGGCCATTACTACTAGTAGCAAGAAGCTACTAGGAGCAAAGAGAATCGCTTCTAGGAGCAAGGACGCTACTAGGGGCGCTCCTGGCCTTACTTACTAGTAACAAGAAACTACTAGGAACAAGTGCATCGCTTCTAGTAACAAGTGCCTTACTAGTAGTAACAAGAAGCTACTAGGGGCTCCTGGCCTTACTAGTAGCAAGAAGCAAAACAGTTTTAGCACCTTTCAGCTGAATCAACACGCACTGCATCACACTGCATCAACCAATCGCTTCTTTGCTCCTAGTAGTAAGGCCAGGAGCCATTAGTAGCTTCTTGCTCCTAGTAGTAAGGCCAGGAGCCCCTAGTAGCGTCCGATCGCTCCTAGAAGCGATGCCCTTTGCTCCTAGTAGCTTATTGTTTCTATTTTAATTATTGTTTCTAATAGCTTCTTGTTACTACTAGTAAGGCCCTTTGCTCCTAGTAGCGAGGCACTTGTTCCTAGCAAAAAGAACCTGTCATAGCAATGGCCTTTGAACCTCTGAGGTTGAAGAGAGTGATGTTGATTGGTGACCACCATCAGCTGCCACCTGTGGTGAAGAACCCCGCCTTCCAGAATCATGGACTGGAACGAGTGGATAACAGTTGGAACGTTGGAACGAACAGGTTGAACAACATGCGCAGAGGAACAAACAGAGCTTTCTCGTTTCGCTTTTTGAGGAAGTATGGTCATTTGGACCAGTCTCTATATGCTCGCTTTGTTCGACTGAAGACGCCCACTGTGGACCTGAATCTTCAAGGAAGAGCCAGGCAAACCTGGGATTCTGAAAGAGAGGAAGCTCATTGAAAGCTACAAACAGTGAGCAAATGGAAACAGAAAAATAATGTCCACTGCAGAAACTATTAACTATCCTGCGCCTTGTGGATTTGTGTTCGGGTTTCTGGGATAGCCAGATATGTCGGATTTGTGAAGCTTAATGTTATTTGTTTGTTTGCAGTGTTTTGTTTGCAATTTTTTTGTTTTGCAATTTCAACCGATGCAAAATGATGGAAAAGCCTTTTGCACGTGGCCACCTGCGAACTATGACATATGTGGCAGGCGCACAAAATCGTAAGGGTGCTCCTTTGGGGGGGGAAGGGGTCTACAGTGCCCATGTGTGGCCGCAATTTGTGTATCGAGCGTGCCTTTTTTGCGACACAAAATTGGCCTCACGTGGGCGCACTATGTGAGCTAGGCTGGGTCTTGGTAAGTTCTGGCGAGGCTGGGTTCTAATTGTTCAAGGCGTGTGCGTGTGCTGACTTGTGTGTGGTGAAACGCACTGTGATTTGTGAATGCGATGTCGTGAAGTATGGTGTGATGCGCAAAGTGTAGCGAGGAGGTGTGGGGATTTGTCATCAGGAAAGTGCCTGTGAAAGCTACTACAACTAAAGGTTCATGCGTAGCAAACTCTTCTAATTGTTCCTTTATCTCTTTCTGTATTTTAATACACTGTAGAGTCTCCTTGTTTGCTGTGAACATAAAACCAGATTGTGACAATAAGAAACACAGTTTGGTAAGAGAACGCATGTGTTTGATTAAGAAGGAACATCACAAAGAAACGGTGTGATTTTGAGAACATTGATAGTGCATGTTTTGACAGGGTCAAGCTTGGACGCGATAATGATGAAATAGTCGGATTGCTGAAGTGTACAATTGGTCTTTCCATGTCTTTCCTCCAGGCCGAGCATTGCTGAATTGTACAGCTGGCGATATCGTGATTTGGGTAACCTGCCCAATGTCCTCACAGACGAGAGGCGTGGAGTTTGCTGTGCCATGGTTTGAACGTGACACCGAGACATTGCAGGTACAGATATGCAAATGCTGGACTGACATATCCGCAGCTATGGCGAAAAACTAGAAACTGACATATGACTGACATACCTGATGATAAAGGCCAGAGAATAGTGTTTCTGTAGCATTGCTCAGGTATCAATTCGTGAACGTAGAGGACTTTGAGGGTCGCGGTGAATCACAGCCAACGCCATACTTCTACCAAAATTTGGGGGAGGCAGAATATTGCGTGGCACTCTTTATGTATATGCGGCTTGGCTTACTGAGTTGTTCCACATATTTTTCCATCATTGATGAACAGTGCCACATGCGGTATAATTTTAGCATATTTTGCAAACTGGAGGAACCTCAACAAATATGTACAAGAAACACGTCTTCATTCTGGAATTTGAGCTGATTCACTAAGGCGTTTGATGGGGATCCCTGCGGAGAGGATTTCTATTTTATCGACCTACAACGGACAGAAGGCGAAGAGAAGCATGTGAAGAGAAACTACCGGAGTAGCTTCTTGTTCCTAGTAGTAAGGCCAGGAGCCCCTAGTAGCGTCCTTGTTCCTAGTAGCGATGCCCTTTGCTCCTAGTAGCGTTCTTACCGGAACAGTTTGAGTTGCAACAAGATGAAGCTTTAGTGAACAGAGCGGAGCATTGAGTTCTCCAAAAAGATCAAACATGTAACATGTCCATGGAGGAAACGTGTTTTGTCCAAGTTTTTTTGCGTTCTCAGACCCTTTCCACCAAGTCCACCACTATTTGCACATTCGCCAAGGTTATGTTCAAGTACTGTAGTATATTGCAATACCCAACCTAGCAGCAATTTGAAGCAAGGACCACTACTAGTATAGAAAGAAACAAGGTAGCAAGAGACGCGAGGATGTGAGGGATGAGCAAATTTAATCACTGACGACTATGGTTGGAGATGCCTTCAGGGAACTCAGCAAGACAATGGTTCTTTTGAAGAGGTGCCAAGCTATCTAAAACCGCATTTTAGTGGATTCAGAGTGGCAGCAGTGGCGTCCAACCACAAAGGGCTGAAACTGAATCAGCAACCGCATTTGTGATGCATTTCCGTCACATCGTCCAAAGACAATTAGTCACTCTTCGACTTTCGAAGCAGCCAGGCGTGTAATGTTATAGCTTCCGTCAAAGACGTGCCAAGGATGGAAGAAAGAAAGAAAAAGAAGGGGTTTAAGGTCGACATATTGGAAACTTTATTTCTTTTCGTTTCTTTTCTCACTAAGATGCATGGATCTAAGCCAAGCCAGATCTTCCTTCTGCTCGTGGACCCGATTTCCTATGCGTGTATTGAGCCAGGCTATAGCTGAAATAGCTCCGCAAGGAAGTGGCACACAGCGCCGGATACTTCTTTAAACTTTAAGTAGCCCTATGAATGCTGTCGGGCATGCACATACTCTCATGAAACGGTCCAGTGCTTCCCTCGCGTCAACGCCCGTTGTGAAGTTGGTAGCTTTGGGGCTCTTTTGCACTTGTTTCTACTAGCTTCTTGTTACTACTAGTAAGGCACCTCTTACTACTAGCGATGCACTTGTTCCTAATAGCGTCCGATCGCTCCTAGTAGTAAGGCCAGGATCCCCTAGTAGCTTCCTTGCTCCGTTCGTAGCGATGCCCTTCAGGTCGAAGTATCCCTGGTAAACGTGCATCACAAACACTCCCGTATCTCCAGACTGAGGGTGCCGCGTCGCGTTCGCAGGTTAAAGGGGTCGTTGGGATGCAAAGCAATTTCTGTAAGTGTGAGTATCGCAAAGCACATCCAAGTGGTTCCGAATTACTACTAGTGACAAAAATCTTCCTTGGGAATCGTTTCACCTGTAGTAACAAGAAGCTACTAGGAACATCAAAGTGGTTCCGAATTCAACGAACGCTACTAGGAGCAAAGGGCATCGCTACTAGGAACAAGGACGCTCCTAGGGGCTCCTTGCCTTACTACTAGGAGCAAGGACGCTATTAAGAGCAAAGAACGCTGCTTTGTTTGCTTTGGTTTTGACTTCAATTGGGCGGCATACCGCGTCCGTGGATGCCTGGGAGTCTCGACCGGTTCAAAGCGAGACGCGGACCATGTCCCGCATGGTGGTCCCACGCAACCGGCTGCCTCACCAAGTGCAGTATTCTCTTCTGGTTTGGATCCATTAGATCCCCGTCCTCACTCACCATAACATCGAGTGATAAGACGGTGGTGAAGCCGCTCTAAAAAGCATTGCAGGTCTCCTGGTCTTCGCCTGGCGCTATTAGTTACGTTTTCCTAAAAATCTAGGAACCAAATGAATAGTGCCAGCGCTTCTTCAAGGAAGCCCCCTCCTCGGCCCTGCAGTTTCTGTGGAGAGCAAGCAGTACTGCGATGTCGTCGGCCCGAGTTTTCGGCTTCTGGCAGTAACAAGTGCATCGCTTCTAGTAACAAGTGCCTTACTAGTAGTAA